TAACGCTATCATTGTTAAATTGCTTCCAATATTAATGTTTATTCTATTATTATTATTATTATTATTATTATTATTATTTATGATCATCATATTGCATGTTTAAAGGGAATATGTAATTGAAAATCACGCCTAATAAGATAATTTGGACAACCGGTTTAGGTTCCTTTTTAATCTTGTTGTTAATTCAAGTGATCACAATATTTTAGAATTATGTTTTGCATTAATATTTAACCAATTTAGTATAATAATTGTAATGCCCCATATTTTTAAATATATTATAAATGAAATTATATATATTATTTATAATATTTATTTGTATTTTCCGGAATTTAATTTCAAAAGTTTCAATTTTTAATTTTGGGTTGAAAATTTTTTTGGTACAAATTTTTATACATACCTTCATTCTATAATTCATGTCCAAATAAACAAAGCCAAACTCATCTTACTTACTTAATTGACCCATTAATTTTATGAGGCTCAATCTTACTATTTACCCTACACCACTCTCTCTCTCCTATAAATACCCCATACATCCCCAACTTTTTCCCCACACAAAAAGGTTAGTAAACTCTATTCTCTTTATTTTATTTCTTTTATTTTCCTTTTTTTTTCTTTTTTTTTCTTTTTTTTTTCTTTTCTTTTCTTTCTTTTTTTTTCCTCTTTTCCTACGTGAGTTTCACTACTCACCACCATTGCTGCCCTTCATCAACTGCCATCCAGCCACCTCCGGCGCACCCCCCTTCCGCCGCCGCCGGCGACCATGCCGGCCCACCAACCCAGCCACCACCGTGGTCTTACTTTCCTCTTTCCTCCTTTGTTTCATTATTTTTGCTTAATGTTTATTTAATTATTTTTGGTTTTGATTTTATAGTTTAAAGATTATATTTTTAGTATCAAAATCATGTTTTTGATAGTTTAAAGTTATAATTTCAGATTATAATTGTTATTATAATTTTCAGATTTTATGAATTATAAACCTAGGGTTTCAATTTAATAAAATTGGGATTTTAGGGTTTTAATGAGCAATTAAATTGGGGATTTTGTTTCTATTGAATTTCTAATGATTAATTAAGCATATAATGTTTTTGATGAAGTTTTAAGGAGTTTTAATCTAAATTATATTGCTGAAAATTTGGTTAAGTATTAATTTATTGTTGTTGCTTGTTTTCTAGGGAGTGATTATTTCGTAGGAGACTTTTAAGTGATTAAAAGTGGCACAAAGGATTGTTTATACGAGGTACGTACATATCTACTTCGTTGTAAGTAGTATCATGTTTAGGTACCAAAGAAAAGAACTTAGTTTCATGATTAGAGAACACTTGGATGAAAATTGTTTGGTTATACATTCAATTAATTCATGTGCTTATATTTATGAGACATGTTTTGGTGTATTGATTATGTTTGTATGTAATTATGGATGCAAACATGTTGAATTATATTGGAATAATTGTTTGTATGGAATGTTGATACAAGCATAATTTTATTGGACTGGTTTGTTAACCACATTTGGATTATTAAAGGATTGGAATTGAATGGTTTAATTTAAGTGGAATGAATTTATTAATTATTCCACAAGGTTGTTATTTATTTTATTTATTAATCAAGCATGACTTGTTAGTATGTTGAGTAAAAGTGGATTAAGCCGAAATGGCTAGGTGGATTGACTATGTTCAACAATTTGGATAATTTGGAAGTTTAATGAAATTAAAGGTCAATTTGTGATGTGATCACCATTGTCCTAAATAAGATTAAAAGTAAATTGATGTATGATTTTTATGTATGGTCTATTTAATTGAGTCGGCTATTAATTAAAATTGTAATCACGTTGGGGGAAATTTATGGAGTTGATGTTGTGATTAAATTGGTTAATTGATTAAGTGCATGTGTGTGATTAATTGAAGAGTAGCTAACTGGGGTACTCGGTGGTAGCCCGTGGCTTTTCGAGGCTTGTTTGATCACCATGTCCTCTTTTCTTTTGGTATTTACATTTTTATTTTATAATGAATGTTAGATGGGATCCTAGACTAACTTTGTGAGAATGGAGTCGCGTCTATTCTTGCATCGCGCTAAACTTTTATTTTAAATGGTCATTTGGGACCAAAAATGATTTGATGGATTGGCAACCTCGTCTATTACTTACTCGAAACTAAATTAATTAAATTAAATATAAAGAGATGAGTGTTTAGAATTGGTTAGAAAGTATGTTGAGTCGATTGAATTGTTTAAGTGTGGAGTCTTGATTAATGAATTCGTGTTGTATGTTTATTTACTTTAATTAGTTGAGCATGTCAGGTTTTGTGCGTTGTAGCTTGCATGTACTCAGCTTTGCTGATTGTGTGCTTTTGTGTGTTTTTCTTTTGGTCATGGCCTTCGCCTTTCAATGACCATGTGATGATCCAATTGTTACACTTGTATTATTGGGGAGCAGTATTGCATAGGATAGCTTGATGATGTGGAGTTCGGTGATTTGACATACACATTGTCAAGGGATTGGTGTGATTGAGAGTATTCGTTCTTTGTGTTGAACTTATTTATGTTTTACTACTTTAATTATGTTTTGGGACTTTGATTATTGGTTTAGTTTTAAATAAGGGCCTTTATGGTTCCAATTTGTAAGCTTTGTTTTATTGGTTTTCTAAATTATATTATTTTAATATTTAAGTTGGATTTCCGCTTCAATACTTTGATAAAGCCTTAACGTTTTAACACGTGGCGGTAACATGCCAATGGTTCTCCTCTATATTTTTTATTTAAAGTAAGTAGTTTGGAAAAGGGAGAATTATTGGGGTGTTACAATAATAGTTTGGTGCAAATTGAATATTTTGTTTGTATGTTTATGAGATCGCAAGAATCATTTTTCACTATAAGAATTTAGTACAGGCTAATACGGGCGAATGTGACTCCATGACTCACTTCGTACCATCATCCCCGATCCTCCTTTCGTGGTTCCGAACCGTATGGAGTTAGTAATCTCATGGATTATGAATGGGGTGTAACCTTCACGGGTCAATCGTTGTTGCCTATCGTTGTCCCTTTATCGTGGTTGCCTTTTATGATCCGTGAACGGTTTACAAGTTCCTTAAAACTTGTTGGCGGCTCCCTACTTTGTTTGTCCCTAATTGTATTATGTAAATTCTCACTTCCTAAGAGTGCCAAGCATATTCACAACATGCTTTAACGTAGGTGCACTTCGAACGACGCCTACATTAACCAAAATAAGTATTTTAAATTTATAATATTACATCAAGTGGACATGAATAATAACCTTGTTTTAACGATGGAAATATTGAAAATAAAAATTTAAAATGGATGTAATTTTTATTAATCAAACTGTCTTGTGCATGATTATAGGTTAAGGGTTTATAATGTTAAAGCTATATTATTATACACAAACTACTGCATTAGTCCGGACTGACTAAATGTTTCGTCAGTCCAACGGGTTTTTGATATCCTCTATTGGCTGAATGATATTCTCTATTGGCTGAATGATCTATTGGCTATATGATGTCATAGTTGGATGATATCCGATATATGCTATATGATATGATTGATATCATTTATAATTGTGTCTATGATATCCTTTATTGGATAGATGATATTCTTTATTGACTATATGATATCATAGCTGGATGATATCCTCTATTGGTTATATGATATCATCTATAATTGTGTCTATGATACCCTATATTGGCCGCACATAATACAAATTCTCACAAATCACCCGCTGGAAAAAGCATTACAAAAAATGGATGCATCAGGCAGACTCTTGAAATGGGCCATTGAGCTCTCTGAGTATGAGTTTGAGGTCAAACCTAGGGTAGCTATCAAAGATCAAGCCTTAGCAGATTTAATTGTGGAAGCCTCCTACGAAGAGAAAGAAGATGATATTGGAATCTGGAAGGTGGAAGTGGATAGATCATCAGCCCAAACAGGGAACGGAGCAGGGATCGTAATGATGTATCTAGAGGGTAATGTATTTGAGTATGCCATTAAGTTTAAGTTCAAGGAATCAAACAAAGAGGCAGAGTACGAGGCAGCTTTAACAGGCCTGCGTATGAGTATAGCAGCTGGAGCCAGGAAAGTCCATCTGCAGACTGACTCTCAGCTTGTCGCTTGTTAGCTGAAGGGGGAATATGAGATTAGGGAATCTACAATGCTGAAGTATGTAACCAAGGTAAAGGAGTTGGCAGCTCATCTAGTTCACTTCTAGATAGACTTGGTCCCTAGAGCGGGAAACTCCCAGGCTAACGCGTTATAAAAGTTAGCTAGTTCCACCTAGTAGAGCCTCACAAGGACAGTGATGGTGGAAGTCCTGGAGGAAAACAGTACCGCTGAAAAGGAGAAGGTGAACTGCATCGGGCAGCAACGAGCTTGGTTCACAGACATACTGGCATACAAAATTTATGGCTCGTTGGCGGACGATGAAGTGCAAGCTAAGAAAGTTAAGAAGGATGCAAACTAGACATGATAATGGATGGGGAAATCAACAAGAAGGGCTTCTCAAAACCACTGATAAGGTGTATCCCAGTGTGGGAGCAGGAGAAGATCATAGAAGAAGCACACTCAGGAATATGCGCCAACCACATCGGTGGAAAGGCCTTGGGAGTAGAAGTGCTCAGAAGGGGTGCATACTGGCCAACTCTAATGCAAGATGCACTAGCATATGTGAAAAGTGTGACAAGTGTCAAAAATATTCCCCAGTCATAAACCAACCAGCAAATGATCTGACCCCAATCCTCAGCCCGATCCCGTTTGCTCAGTGGGGAATGGAGATATTGGGACCTTTCACCACTAGGTCAGCGGGCAGGAAGTACCTCATAGTGGCAGTAGACTATTTTACCAAGTGGATAGAGGCCGAGCTTACTAAGTATATAAAGGCAGTCCAAGTGAGGACATTCATATGGAAAAACATGATCACAAGGTTCGGGGTGCTGCAGTGCATAGTCTTTGACCACTGATGCCAATTCGACTATGACACCGTCAAAGATTACCCGGAGGAAATGGGCACCAAGTATGCAAGTGCATCAGTCTGTCACCCGCAGAGTAATGGCCAAGCTGAAGTAGCAAACAAGCTGATCTTAACAGCCCTGCAAAGGAAGCTGGAGGAGCACAAAGGCCTATGGGTTGACCTAGTCCTAGAGGTGTTATGGGCAAATAGAATCACCGAGAAAGAATCTACCGGTAAAAGCCCTTTCACTCTAGCCTACGGGGCTGATGCAGTCGTCCCAGTAGAAGTGCAAATTCCTAGCCTGAGGATACAACACTATAAGCAACAAGGAAATGAAAATCGCATGCTGGAAGAGCTAGACTTCTTGCCGAAAGTAAGGCTAAAAGCAACTCTCAAGCTGGCAACCTAGAAGAGCAGGATTTCCAAAGCTTTCAACAAAAGAGTCAAGCACTGGGAGCTCCTGCCAGGAGACTTGGTCCTTAGAAGGATAGCAACAGTGGGAATAGGAAACCAACATGGAAAGCTATCAGCCAATTGGGAAGGCCCCTTCATCATTCATGAACAGGTAGGACCTGGTGCATTCCTCCTTGCAGATCAAGAAGATCAGGTCTTAAGGAATAGTTTCAATGCTGATGTGTTAAAGAAATATTTTGTTTAAAAAGGAAAGAATTTAGGTAGAAATGGGGATAATTGTTTCAATTTTGCAAGAATTCTGTTTAGTTTGTATTATGTCAATTAAGGCATTTAAGCCATTTCAATTCATTGAAATACAAGCCTCTACGTAAGGAGTATATTGCATAAACTTGTTTAAATATGTTATGCTTTAGCATCATGCACTAACATGCAGAAATAAAAAACCATGTAAGTGCTGAAAGTAGAAAGCACCCTAGCATGGCACAACAAAACAACGTTAAACGACAAAAGAGCATCCTTCCCTAAAATTTCACCTTACCTGATCAAAGTAAAACAGGGCACCACCTCGGGGACGCCTGAGGGGGAGGCCTGACACGTTCAACTTGAGTAGGGAAGGGCAGTAAAAACGAAGAAGGATGAGCTGTGCGGGTAACACTAAGGTCCTCTTAGTCCCACCTAGCTCGCCTCTTTGAGGGGGAGAGGAGGAGATAGACAAACGATAAGCCCTTACAAAGAGAAGTAAGAGGCACAAAGCAATAAGTTGCAGCACAAACAAGATAAACAATACAAACAAGTCACAACGAAATAAGCTGAATGACATAAAATGAATAGCCAAAAGCCGGTTGACACGAATAAGTCTCAGCAGAGCAGACTGAAAGATGCCAAACAGGCAACAATTGAATAACCTAATTAATATGCAAGCAAGTCTCTTCAAAAATTAAGTAGATTACATAAAGCACAAGCATACAACATAGGGCAGAAAGAGCAAAGCTCACCGAAGTTCCTACTAAATATAGCACAGGACAAGAAAATAAGAAAGCCCTCAGCAACCAAATCAGGAAAACAAGGAGGTCCAACCTACGAGGCTTCACTGAGCGCAACAAAGGGGATGCTGTGCTAAGGTCTAGGTACCACTATACCTTGGCCCAGTAGCAGGTTCGGACAGGCACACATACTACAAAACAACCAACAGACGAAATAGTAGAATGATCATCATATACATATGACACAAAGCTGAACCCCCACCCACCAAGGCAGAGTAAACATTCAGCAGGTAAAGTCATAATATTTATAAAGCTGAACCCCTGCCCACCAAGGCAGAGTAAACATTCAGCAGAGTAAAGTTAATAAAACATAAATTCAAGTCAATCTGGACAGGCCCAACAGTGTAAAGATAAAGTGTTATGAGAAGTCACAAGAAAAACATAATCTTTGGCGGCTATACACCCTAAAGATAGAAACAAAAACTATCTAGTTACCACAGACCTAGGTGAGGGAAACTGAGAGGAACCACTAGAGTAGGAAGGTGACAACCGCCATAACCTTTGTTGTCCACCAGCCAAGGACTCCACCCCAATAGCTGCAGCAACGTCAGGGCAGAGAGGAACCTCCAAGTTCAGCACAACATGGTCAGGAACCTTGTAGCTAACAACTCGAGGGTGGTCAGCAGGTAGCTTAAACAGGCCAGCATCTCCATTAGCCTCAACCTTAGCCTAGAAAGTGTTGAAACGAGCCTACTGTTCCTCACCCTCACCATACAAACTGCTCACACATCGGGCCGCAGCTTCCCAGCCACCATCATGGCGATAAGCCAGAAGCTTAGCAAAGGCGGGAAAGAGTGCAAAGGCCATAAGTGCCTCCTTCCTAGCAGTTTCTAGCTCAACTATATGCCCAGCCCGCAGATCGGCAATCTCCGCCCTCAATGTCTGCACTGTGGCTTGAGAAATTTGCAGTTGTTCCTCGCAGCTCGTCAGCTTGGTCTTGGTGAGCTGAAATTCTCCCAACTAAAGCCGCAGTGCATCCGCTCTTTCTCTTAGGGGAGTCACCTCACTGACCATGGTATCCCTCTCAAAACAAGCCTGCTAAACCTCCAATTTTTTTTGAGAAAGGATCAGACCTTGATTCTGGTATCCCTTCTCCATTGTAAGCAAGGCATTGTATAAATCCCCAACAGACCTGACAAGCTATAAAAAGGAAGAGAAGGGTAAGAGAAAACCAAGGCAAAAATTAAAAGATGATAAAAATAAGACAAGGCATTAATAGGAGAGCAAGCAAAAGGAGGAAAAGAAATCAGAATTAGAGAAGCAAAGAGTGAAAGCAAAAACTAACCTTTTGCAAGTCATGACAAGCAGTGGCCGCATGAAGGCTGACCAAGCTGCGTGTAGAATCAAGAGGGGGACAAACTCCCTGTGTAAGACGATACCCCAAGGTACCACCTTTCTGGGGATCGTCCATGAACAAGGACTCATCAGCCCTAACGTTCATTTCAGGGCGGAAGGGAGCATTCTCAGCTCCAGCAGAGCACATCAAGGGACGAAGGTGGACATCAATGGGGACCTCAGAAAATTCAATGGGCCCAGTAGGGCGGAAGGTGCCCCCAGCAGAGATCGAGATTGCAGACAGTGGGTTCTCAAAGGCATCGCTTAAAAACTGGTGAACACAATGATTAAGTTCACTAGAATTTTGAGTGTCAACTCCCATATTAGCATTTCAACCAGGAAGCCCAGTGTTAGCAGAGTGAGAAGCAAAAGGATCAAGGCTAGAGGAGGTGCGAGCCTTTTTAGCAGCAGGCTCATCCTCAGCATGGGCAGAGGTCACGGGATCATCCTCTAAGTCTATAACTGGCTGATCCTGCTTGTGAGTACTCCCTAGCTGAGAGTACCAACCCCTGGTAGCACTTCAAAGGCGCCCTTGTAGTCTAGAAGGGTGCGGCGGAAACTTTGGAAGCTCCATGATAGTGTCATCAGGAAGCTGAAAATCAGTGGCCTCAGCAGAAAGAGCTGTAGTGTCCTTCGCAACGGTAATAGTATCGACATCAGTAGAAAAGAGCAGAACATGCTCAGCAGAAGAAGTGGAATTTACACCCGCAACAGTAATAGTCTCACCCTCATCAAAGGGAAACTTAAGAACATTATATGCAAAATCATCAGCGGTATTCTTTGGATCATCAGAAGCTTGGTCAAGTGGCTTCTTGGTTGCAGAGGTCTGAGGTGCCACCTGGCCGAAAGCTACAGCAGGCTGCTTCTTAGGAGAAGCACCCTGCGCCACTAATTCCTCAAACTCCGAAGATGCTCTTCGGGGGGCAGGACGAGTATCACGCCTACTCCCAATAGTGGAGGAGGAGGGCTCAGCTTTAGCACGGCTGGATCCTGCACGGTTAGCAGATGTCACAGTGCCGACGACAACATGCTGTTCAGTTGGAGCTAGACGCTCCTCATTCTTCAAAGAACCAGCATACACCTCCAGAGTATCAAAAAGCTCCAGAGGATTGTCAGGAGTAGAAGTTAAAGTGTCCTTCCAATTATCAGCTAGCCCAAGAATGCGCTTGTCCTGTTTATCATAACCTGAAAATGGGAGACAAAGAGACAAAACAACATAAGGGCCAAGGCAAAAAGGGAAAAGAAGAAGGATGAGAAAGAAAAGAAAAACTTACCAGCCTCATGCGTGTAGCATAAACGCATGGCAGAGAGCTGCTCATTTCCCACGATGTATATAGAGTTGGGCAACCAGATCTTAGATAATTTCAAATCACTGTCCCTGCTCCCTACAGAGCGTCAAAAGCTTCCGTCTCACGAGCAGGCTCAGCAGGAGAGACGGTAACCCCAACCATGTAGGTGCGAATTTCTCTGAAATTGCGCGGCACAACAAAAGTAGAGGGTACCTTCACCCAAAAGAACTTACCAATCCAATCCCGGAAGCGACCAAGCTTCGGGAAAGACAGAACTCTGCCTTCCTTGGGAGCTACATAGTACCACCCAGACTCAGTCCTAGAAGCAGACCTCTTTAGGCTCATTAAAGACTTGAATAGGTGTAGGGACTCAAGATACCTTCGAAACCGCAGAAACCATAGCAGGCATATCAAAGTATGAAGAGAAGCTAGGTGCAGCAAAGATATACAAATGTTGAAGGCACGAGACACCTTCTCCAGAGTGGGGTCAAGGGGAAACCTCAGACCCAAGTCCAGCTGAGAAGAAAACACTGCAATTTGACCAGTAGGGGGAGCAGACAGCTTCGCACCGTCAGCGGGAAGAACCAGCCCTCACCAAAACCATAAAACTTTCGCCCCACAGATCAAGGTTCAACCTCTTGGCATCCTTATGCCAGCTGGAGTCCGGAACACAATTCTTTGGTCCATAACACTTGTCATCCAAAAAGAACTCAGTTTTGCCTTCCCCTACAGGATCCACGACATAAGTGGGCTGATAGTCATAAAAAGAGCGGTCACTTGGAGATTCAGTCATCCTGCTCAGGTTTACGACTGGAGAAAGAGATGGTGATGAAGTCTCAATACTGCCACCTTGCACTACATAATGATCAAACCGATTCACATCAGCCATGTCATCAATCCAAGGAAAACTGTTTAAAGGCTGAACATGGGGAATGGGGCTAACAAAGGACACAATAGGGGGATTATCCTTAATTGTGTCGGCTAACTACTTATCGCGCATTGCACGCATTCTCAAACGGGTGTGATGGGATAAAGGAATCCCATCCAAAACAAGCATCCGCTCACAGTAAGGGTCAAAGAAATCAGGGCGTGGCTTGCGCTGAAAAGGGCGAAAAGCACTGCCCTCAGCAAGACGACTATTGCCTAACCTAGATGCACCAGTAGGAGTCGCATCAATACTTGTCTTGCTCGCAGCAGGGGGACAATCAAAGGGAAAAACCATTTATATAGGAGTGGGGGAAGAAGTAGAAGAAACAGGAGGAGTGTGCGCAGGGCGCTCACCTGAAGAAGATCATCAAGAAGGAGAATCCGACTCAGTGGCCACTTGAGGATCACTTATGTTCTGACTATCAGAATAGTTAGAAATTGTGAAATCTAAAAAGACAAAAAGCCCACTGAGAGGAGGAAGAAGAAAATAGGGCACCGAAAATTAAAAATCGGTTTATGGGGACAAGAACAATAGAAGAATAAAGAGAAAGAATCAAGAGTGTAATTACAACAATGAAAAAAGGGTAAAACTAGACAATGGTAATCGAAACGAGTCAAAAAACACAATTTTGTGAAGGAAAATACAAAAA